GAGGAACCTATTCTATTTAATCAAAAGCTTCATTGCTGACAGAAAAGCTGGTTTCCTAGTGAACAAAGTCAACTATACCTATGACGTCACCAAGGGCTGTCCACAGGGCTCCATTTCAGGGCCCGGTCTTTGGACTATTGTCCATAGCGAGCTCCTTACAAAAATTAATAACATCGAAGATGGCAATCACCTCATACAGGAGTATGCAGACGATACCGTCATACTGGTATCTGACAAAAACCGTGACAGGCTGTCAGTCCTGTGTAACAATCTATTAGCAAAAATTTCAAGCTGGAGTGCGGAGATTAACTTGCCCATCAATTACTCCAAGTGTTACTACATCATCTTTTCGAAAAACACTCCTCTTCAGAAGAGCCCTCGTATAGAGATCGATGGGGTAAGAGTCTCCCGGGTTAAGGAGTGCACATACCTTGGGGTTAAGCTTGAACAGCAACTTCAATGGTCTAGCCATGTCAATATGGTAGTAGCTAAGGCAACCAAGGCTTCGAATGCTCTCATTAGCATTGCTAAGAATACCTGGGGCATAGGCTATAAGGCAGCTAAACACATCTATCTTGGGGCAATCGAGCCCATTCTGCTCTATGCGGCCCCCATTTGGGCTGATGCTACCCAGAAAGTGTACATCCAGAAAAAACTATCAAAAGCCCAAAGGGTAGCTGCCCTCAGGATTTGCAGGGCCTACCGGACAGCCCCGACTTCTGCCCTTTTGGTGATTGCCGGTCTAATACCAGTTCACATCAAGGCCAGGATGATGGCTAGGAACTGGAAATTCAACAACCTGTTTCTTAACAATAACCCACTAGATAATATCAGGAATAATAACACACTTTTGGAGTTACCCAACGACCTTAAAAATGACATTTTAACCTTCGGGATCGAACTCAAGGACCCCACTTCAAACACAATGTATGACTATCCATCTGCCAGCAATAACATCTCTACTTACAATGAAACTAACGACATATCCATCTTCACTGACGGATCAAAAGACGACAACAAAGTTGGAGCGGCATTTGTTCTCTATGACCATCAAACTGGGAAAACTCATCGTTCAGCATTTAAGCTTGGTCCCCATTGTTCTGTTCCCCAAGCTGAAATTCTGGCCATTACAAAGGCTATTGACCACGTCTTTGCTGAATGGTTTCCTCATAGCAAATCTATCACAATATACTCAGATAGTATTACTGCGATTTACTCTATCACCAATCAAGGGAAACGGGGTGACAACGTCCTCCATATTCACCAGCTTCTCTCCAACAACAGTCACGGACATAATATCCAATTTAAGTGGGTGCGTGGGCATTCTGGCGTTGTTGGCAATGAGGCCGCTGACCGCCTTGCCAAGTCCGCCGCAGTCTCAACCTTGCCCTCCAGCTACAGCAAAATTCCTCTCTCCAAAATCAAGCACTGGAGCTATCAAATCGCCCTCCATCAGTGGCAAGAAGAATGGAACAACAGTGACACTGGAAGATTAACATTCGACTTTATCCCTGACATAGCTCGCCGNATTTAGTGGATAGAAGAACACTCCCCGGGGTATATAAAATTCCAGTCACAGACTCAAGGCGACGAAGTAAATTAATGTATGTAGGGGCAACAGGAAGATGTATCAAAGACAGGTTAGCAGAACACCAAGCAAATATAAGAAAAAAACAACCATGCACTGCGCTAGCCACCTACGTTCTAGCGGACCAGCAAGACGTCCAAGTTGAATGGGACCAAGCAAGACTAATGCAGATAGTCCGAGACAGGAAACACCGACATTACGCGGAAGCCTGGCAGATTTGTAAGGCAAAGCATAAAGGCCTCGCAATCAACTTCCGGGAAGCGACTAAAATATCAGCAGCATGGTCCTCTAGCTTATTATAATATTAATAATTGAAGGAAGTAGTCACTATGTATCTCAGATTACGTACTTTTGAATAATGTAGAGAGATGGCAACTATACGTATTTAGATGTAAATATTTATGTAATATTGTTATATTTCCGTTGCTAAGTTTACACTGACGTCATTCGCAACGGATTATAAGCCAGTTCGAAAGATTCAAAAAAGAGTTATTTGTATTAAGTGTTCGATTTACAGTGTTTGTTCTTTATTTAATCGTATTTTCTTGAGAAAGGTCTTTTAATAAGACCGAAAACGTTTGAAGTTTTCTAATAAACGTCGACTGCAAGAAAAGGTGTTGTAGTAAGTGTTTTTTAATTTTGTTTTAGAAACAATATTTTATATTGAAAAGTAACAGATTTAAAATGTGATGATAAAAATAGACTGAATATAATCTCTTAATGTTTTCTTTTTCAGATAATTATCTTAATAAGAATATTCATTTTGCATTTATTTCTTGAAACATAATCAATGTTATTATTTGGAACATTTTTTATTATCATATTATAAATTTATAGCTTTTAAATAGTTTTTAAATAGTTATGTTTCGTTTTCAAAACTTTCCTAAATCAAAAATTACAAGAGAATATATCTGAGTAAGTTATCTCAAAACATTTTATATATTAATTTAAAAGTGTGATATTAGATAGATTTTACTAATAAAAGATTTAGATTTTATTTGAAAATTCTTCTAATGTGTAATATATAATTTATAAATTAACTTCATTTAATTATTATTATTATATAGTCAATAATAATACAAAAATAATACCTGTTCAGAACTGTGGAAATCTTTATAAATTGAAAAGGAGATACCATCAGTACTATACAATAAATAATAAGATGTCACCCATTCCAAGTACCCTTCTCTTCCCTTGGTAATAATTCCATAAATAATATGAGGTTCATTTAAATTAATTTCAATATATTGGTTTTTATCAATTATTCCAGGAATCCATGCTCCAGCTGTTAAAAATTTAGTTGCAGTCAGTTTCATTAAACTATAATAAATATAGTTAATTCTAGAACTTCACTTAAAAAAGCAATTTGATTTTATAAACTATTAGCTTTGGAAATATTTATCTTAAATAAATTTTTTTTTATATTCAATCATTATCTCTTTACAATTATAAAATAGCAAAGCTATAAAAGGACAACTTTTATTTTGTAAAATTTAAAACAATTGGGCTTTTAAATAAAAAAATTAAAAATAAATATATTTTTACCAAATGCTAATTATATTTATGATTTTTAATAAAAAGCATTAATTCAGAATTTAATAAATAATTTTGTATAATCTTATAATAATTACAGTTTTAATGTTTAAAATATGTACAAGTTAAATAAGTCAAATAAATATAATGTAATATCAATCTAATTGTTGTCTCATAACTACATTTCATTGACTATACCTGAATATTTAGAAGACACTGTTGATATTCTAGCATTATTTGGTCCAGACTTTGAATTCAAACTGCTGGATGCCTTTATATTAAAATCAGGTAATGGAGATTCACCATTAATTAAAGGAATGTAATCCCAGCATTCATCTGAAGCAAAAAATAATAATATAATACATTTTCTTAACAGATAAACAAAAATCAAAGCCATTAACTTAGATATAAATATTATATTATACTACTGAAAAGTTTAGTTGCATTTTTAACAACTTCATTTCTTGAGATTTTGTATATCTAAAATGAATGAAACTAAAATTCTTAATTAAATACTTTAATACTTTTTTAAAATTTTGTTTAGTTAACATTTTAAAGTTTTTGAGAATATTATTTATTGAGCTAAATTTTAAGAAACTATAAACTTTCTGAAATATTTTTTATCTATAATTTTATTCACACATTGAAAATAATGTATTTGTAAAACTTACTATTTTTATAATTAATTAATTTTAATGCATTAATATTTAATACACAATAGAAGTTGAAGTGTTTAAAAAAATTTGTTTTTAAAATTTTAAATGTAATATAGTAGAATTTTATTAATCTGACACCCAATAATTTGAATGTCCAGCAGCATTTTACAGTAGGTAGGTTCCAGACTAGGATCTGTGATGGTAAACCTGGTGAGGGCATCAGCATGCTTGTTGCCCTCATTTCTGACATGCACCCTTGTCCAGGAAATGTAAGTATTGCCAGAGAGAATGAGTGCATGGTGTAACTCAATGGTCAATAGATGAAAAGTAATGTTGCTTAGGAGTATGTCCACAGAGTCACTATCAGTAAAAATAGAAATGCATTTGTGTTATAGTTGGAAGAAGTCTATTCGATAGCATGGAGGATGGCAACTAGCTCTACTTGGAATATGCTGCAATGATAATGCAATTTAAATTTCTGAAGGAAGATCTCCTGCCCAAGATCAAAGATGACAAAGCTACAGTCATTTTGGAGTCATCAGTATAAACTTGAAGGTTAGGATTGGTGAAAAACTTGGTATTGAATTTATAGATAAGGAACAGATATATGGTTTCTTGAAAACGTGGGAATCTCAAGAGAGTTTGCCTAAAAGTAAATGGTACTAGTATTAATGTCAATCCCATGCTTAAGTTTGGCAAGATTAGTTTAATGATAAGATCAATTGGAGGTTTTGGTAATGGTAAGATCAATCAGAGAGCCTTAGTTGGGCAATCTGAAAACTCTTACTTGATCAGGTGTGGTAACCCTTCTTGATGTACAGAAGGGCTTCCTTTGTGCAGAGATGAGTTTGCATGCAAGATAAGATTTACTGACACAGTGTCTCTCCAAGCATCACAAGCATAAGAGATGATGATGACAAACACCTAGTCATAAATTATGTAGCTCCTGAGTTGAAGCCCCAGGTGTTCTTGGAAACAGCAGAGAAGTGATGAAAGACTTTCCCAGTTTTCTTTGTGATAAAATAAATATGCGCAGTCCAGAGGAGCTTGTGATCAAGATACTGAAGACTCTTGACCACCTTGATGGAACTGTTGTTAAATTTTATAGCAGGAACTCTAGCATAGAAATGTGGTTTGCTGACAACATTTGCCTGAGTTTTTTCAAAGTTGAAATTCAGCTTATAACTTGAATCTCAAACTTGTATTTTCCTGAGAATATGGTTGGCAGGAAATTCCAAATTGGAGTGGGATTTACTTCTGATGAGAACTAACACATCATCTGCATAGACAATAATGTGGTCCTGACCAAAGTTTTGACTGAGAAATGAGTTGAAGAAGACAACCCATAAGAGAGGCCCACAAACAGAGCCCTGGGGGCAGCCCCTAACCTTATCAGTCTGGAAGGTAAGAGTGCCAAAAAGTGATGACAACTTTCCTGTTTCACAGATGATCCTTTATAGTGCAGTATATGTTTGCTGGGCAATTCATGTCTTGAAGATGAAGGAGGATCAGTGGCCACCAGGCATTATCAAAGGCATTATCAAAAGCTTTATATTTGGAGGTGATTGATTTCACAGCAGTAAATCCATCCAGAGCAGATCTTTGTTTATGAAATCTGAATTGTTGATTGTTGAGAGAGTGAGTTGATTCCAGAAATGTTCAGCATGTTAGTGAGCATCCTCATGAACCTTTCCTAAGATAGGTGGAAGAGAGATGTAACGAAAGCTATCCCAACTATCAAGCTTAAGAATAGGCACTATATATGCAATTTTCCAGGATTCAGGACAAATGCCAAAAAGTAAACAATGGTTATACATGTCCAGGATTTGATTTGAGTTTGTCTTCCAGATCTGAAGGGAAATATCTTAAGTAATGTGATCTAGACCAGGAGCTTTCTTCCTACTGAGGCTCGTAGAGACCTGCTCCACTTCTTGAAGGCAGAAAATGTCACTTCTTTTCTTGCTACAAATTAAGACAGAGGTACTGTCTGTACTCAGTGACAGATACAAAGGGATGTCATTGACAGATGAAAAAAGTTAAAATTTATTTTTTTAAATTTCAAAAGATTTTTTTAAAAAGATTTATGATGACAAATATTGTTTATTGGACAATTTTCAATACAATCACCATGCGTGTGTTAATAAAAGATCCTTATCAGTTATTCAAATAATTTTAATTTTTGAATTAGCCTCCTTTTGGTACTTCTGGATTTACCACATGACTATATGTCTGGCATGATATTAGAGGAATTTGTAGAATTCAAATTTATTTTTTATCCATATAATATTTGAGATCTCAGACCTCAAATATTATAAAGTATTCGATTATTCATGGATAGTAGTTCTCCATCTCTACCAAAACAATGGTATATTGAATATAAGTTTATATAATGAATGTAAAAATACTTACATACAACACTGGGAACTGTTGTCACAATATATGAAATAGTTGTATATGTAGGTTTCTCTAAATAAAAAATTAAAAAAGTATTAAAATAAGTTTTTATTAAAATAATGTTAATATAAATTCAATAATTTTATTTAAAAACTATTATTGTTATTATTATTGTAAAAAGCTATAGCTTTTGAAAAAACTATGAAAAGTTTATTTTGCCAATTTAAATTTATAATAAATGAATATATAAACATATATTTGAATAATATATAGTTTGATTTAATTCTTCCTCAAAATTTATGTAATGTATCTCCCAATTATTTTCTACAACACTAAAAGCATATACAGTAGACCCCCCTATAATGCGGGTTCCTATAACAAAGATTTCTATAACGTGGCAAAAAAATTGTGACAATATTCATACAAAGACACTAAAAGGGACTCGTAAAACGTCGTCGCCGACTCGTGTCGCAACAGGATTGGTCGAATCTGGACCAATAGTAGACAAGCGGCCAAACTACTTACACGCTACAGAGAGTTTAGGTGAGTAAGTTGNAAACTAAAATTTTTTAATAAAAACATTTCACTTTATTTTATGATAAAATACATTTAAAAAATTAAATTTATATGTATTTTGTATTATATTGTATTAATAAACAAAATTATTTGCTTATTTTTCACTTGTGCAGAACCTAACTCTATACCTCACTGTAAACATGGGTTCATTTTACGCTGATTCGATTTGCGTTGGCTTTTGTAGGAACAGAACTGCGGCACAAACCGAGAGCTACCTGTAGTTTGAAATCCCATTAGTTTGTAACTATACTATTTGTCTTGGCTGGGATATAGAGATTTACATGTTAAGGAATTCTGTTGGTTCAAAATACAGCTACTTTGTAATTTAATTAATAAAGTGAAAATTCTGTCCAAATTGTGATACGTGTATGTTAATTCATTCATTTAGATTGAAGTGCCTCCACACTATAAGACAGCAATAGACCAAAAACAACTCTAATCTAGTCAATATGACTTTGCTTTTACAACAACATATTTTGGGTATCAAGAGAAAAAAAGGATAGTCCATGTGTACGTGGACTACTCTTTTTTCTCTTATAAAATACAGCTGATTTTTGGGATTGCAACATTGGGCTACAAATAGCAGATTGAAATATTTGTAGTGTGCTAGTCTCTACATTTGGATGACTTCTAGTTTCTGGGCAACTTTAAAAATAATTTAAGCTACATTTCAAAGAATTTTGCTTTACTTTTTATAAAACCTATCAGGTAACCTGTGTGATTCTCATTGGATATGTGCTGTTTACCTTTACATTTATATTATTATTATTGTTATTAATCATTCTGTAGTCTTGAAAATCTTATGAAAAATACTAATTAAATTAATATGAAATTAGTGGATAAAATAATATTGATTTGCCAGTAATATTAATATCTTTGTGCAATTTATTGAGATATGGAAAAAATTTTAATTTTTTGTAACAAGTTACAGAAATGTCACAATTTAACCTTTTCACCAACATGTTTGATTCTTGCTTGGTAAAGCCTAGCAGCAGGTTAATCATTTCTAGGTTATTAAGTATAAGAAATTCATGGAAGCCAATATTACCATAAATAGCAGGTACAAAATATTCTCTTCCATTCCAGTATAAGGGTGAAGTCTAAAATTACTCCTTACAATAAAGAAATCAATTGAAATCTGTTTAAATATATTTGAGACAATAATCATCTTCATATTATTTACTATAGAATACAGATTTTAAAAAATTGAATAATTTTAATGTGCTGATTTTTTGGAACATATTCTGTTTCATTAATAATTTTTGGATAACTTAATGTTCAAGTATTAAATTCTAGCTTTTTGAGTCTTGTTAATTATTCCATTATTAAAATCTCAAATTATATTTGGTTTTATCTGAGTTGATTAAATTATCTCATAGTTGGCCAATGTCAAGAATTTTCTATTTCATATACTATCTACAAGATAACTTGTAAAAGATGTGTTACACATTTAACTGAAGAATAAATGTTATAAATTAATTATTACATGAAATAAGTTTAACTAAAAGTGTCATCAGGAAACATGTCATCTAATGACATAGTGGCATTCATCGTGTTATAACAGATTATACTGTGAATTATATGTGAAATGGCATTCAGAATTTATCATAAATAAAATTTTAATTAATTTTATTATTTAAAAAACTTATTTAATTCAATCAACCAAATCTACAAATTACTCTTTATAATTGAGAATGTTTTAATTGAATTTCATATATTAATTTTTTTATACAAATGCTCTTCTCATACATACACTTATATATATATAATTATTTACAGTATATTCTGTTATTTATATACATAAATATTTCAAAATGCTTACCACAAGAACAGAAATAACGAATCATGTAATCAGAGCATAAACCAAACTCTTGTTTTTTATTCCAACATTTCAATCCTGTTTCTAAACTGCATGTAACATCATGTTCTTTACGTAATGTGTAATCCTCTTTAAATTTTACATCTTTGCATTCAATATCTGTAATGTGACCCTAAAATATTCAAGTTTTAAATATTCAGTAAATTACAAATAAAATAATTAATAATAAAAATGTAGCAGCCTTACTTCATTGTAAAATTAATTTTAAGCTTTCTTAGACAAAGAAATAATTTTTTCAATTTTATAAAAAAAACCCATGTAATTTAAAATTTAAATTTCTATTCCTAATAAAAGAATTGCTTTATATATTCAAATTATGTAAACTGCTTCATAAACAGTAATTTAATTATCAATACATCATTAAAATTATTCAAATTTAATATCATAAACATGATAAAATCACAACATAGTTAACTATTATTGATTAACACATTAAGCACCATGTGATGCAACTATGCAACNTGAAAATTCTTCTAATGTGTAATATATAATTTATAAATTAACTTCATTTAATTATTATTATTATATAGTCAATAATAATACAAAAATAATACCTGTTCAGAACTGTGGAAATCTTTATAAATTGAAAAGGAGATACCATCAGTACTATACAATAAATAATAAGATGTCACCCATTCCAAGTACCCTTCTCTTCCCTTGGTAATAATTCCATAAATAATATGAGGTTCATTTAAATTAATTTCAATATATTGGTTTTTATCAATTATTCCAGGAATCCATGCTCCAGCTGTTAAAAATTTAGTTGCAGTCAGTTTCATTAAACTATAATAAATATAGTTAATTCTAGAACTTCACTTAAAAAAGCAATTTGATTTTATAAACTATTAGCTTTGGAAATATTTATCTTAAATAAATTTTTTTTTATGATAGAATGCTAATAGAAATTTAATTTTTTCCCCTATAAAATATGAAAAATATGCAAAATTTGCCTTTCCTAATGTTTTGCTTCCACAATGAATGTGAACAAGTACAATAACACAAAAACAAATATTCAAGAAACAATCTTTATTTTCTGTTAATGAATAAAATCAGTAGGTGTTTAATTTTAATGATTATTCTGTATTTTCTTGGATTTATATCAGCCGATTTATGCAATCTAGACTTTATTCATTTATGTAGTAGATGTTCTGTTAAATTTAAAACCTAGTGATAATACAAAGTGTCATAACATGATCAGAAAAAGATCATACAGGCCACATATACAATTCTGCAACATACCTAAAAATTGAGAAAAATTTTTTATTTTTGATGATAAAGACAAAATTATAATAAATAGCCATCATAACAAGCAACAACTATTGGATCATATCAGACTATTATATTACAATTATTTTAAAATTATTTAGTAATTAATTTTAAAATAATCATGATGTAATAGCTCGATATAATTTGGTAGTTGTTGCCTTGTTACGCATGTACATGTGTTTGTAGATGTTGGTTTATGTAAATAGCCATCATTTTTGTATTAGTTTGTACATGAAAAAAGCATGGCCCAGTGTGATATTCTATGCCTTTCTATTGTGGTAATAAATGTGTTAAAATGTTATACTACTAAATTCTAGCATTTTTCAACTTTGGAAATAAAGTATGTATTTTATAATCAAACAAAAATTATTTTTTCTTTTTTCTCCTAGATGAAATAAATTTATCCTTTTTATGTAATATTTATAGACCATGAATTTATAAACACAAAAAATTTTATAATTTTCTTAAACAGTTATCTGACAATAATGCTTGCAACAAATAGTAAGTTCTGACAAGCACTTTCAGTATGTGACTGATACTGTAAGCCTTCAATAAATTTTAGTACAGTATTTGTACATCTGTACTTTTGTTTATGGAAATTATAAAACACTAGAAATTCTCACATCAAGTATGATAATCTACTTTCTATAAAAAAGTAGAGATTGAAGAATTGAGAAGAGCACAGATCTTAAGAAATTCAAAAAGAGTAATTAATATTTCTACAAATTCAATAGCATCCTTATAATGTCCATCAAAACATAATTGAAACACAATAATACATTTTAAATAACAGGCTCATTAGATCATTAATTCCAATTGCATAATAGAACATCACATGGTAACTATGAAACAATTTTTTTAAAATTTTGTTATAGAAGTGACATGATGCAGCTATCTTTTTTAAAGGTTAAATTTAATGAAGGCAGATTTAAATATGCCATTTGTCAAAATATTTAAAAATGCAACTTAAGGGAAATTCCCTCATCAAGCATGAACTAAATGAGGTCACTGACGTCACTGCAACGTAAGTGCAATTACCAATCCAAAATCGATAAAACATTTATTCTACAGCTAATATTTCCACAGAATAAGTAGCCTATACTTTCTGTTGGAACATAAAATGAATATAACCAAAATTTTATCTGGATTGGACAAAAATTGCAGGAGTTATAAGGAATTCACATATACACAAATGACAGCTTTTATATTATTTATAATTTTTTTACATAACAAAATAGATAAATCAGACTACATTAAACAAATATCTAAATAAATACCATATAAGCCTAATTCCCCATAATGTTGCAAAACATTAAATAATAAATATGGATTATTGAAAGAAAAGCTATATTATTTTCATTTCTGCTTAAGAAGTTTTTTAAATTAGTCTCTTGAAAAATTTCTTAACTAAATTCTATTGTATATAATATACTTAATATTATAAAAAAAAACCACACCTTTAACAATCCAGCAAATAAAATTTACTAAATTAAAAACGTTTTCGATCATTTTAATCAATCTTCAGTTAACTCAAAATAGAACACTAACATAGAACATAAATATGAAATGAGATTTCAATTTATACTTAATATTGTTACCTCTTTACAGAAATGATATTTTGTCCTCAAATTAATAGGTGTAATATTCTCAAAATCTCCAGCATTTTTTAATGGACTATTATCATTAATCCAGTCTGACCAATAAGAACATGGTGCAACAGTTGTACGGAATGGACTAACACCTCCTCCTCCTGTTTCTGTCTTTTCTTCTTCTTCTTCCTCCTCCTCAGTCTCTTCCTCCTCTTCTTCTTCCTCCTCTTCTTCTGAAATATTTTTATTTGAACATTTCAAAACATAAATTTAATAATAAAATAAACAGAAATTTAAGTAATTTAATTTAAATAGATTGAAAAAAATAAAAAAGTACCTTCTGATTCGGTAGAAGTCAAGGATGGAAATGTAGAACTAAATTCTTCAGTTGTTTGCTCATAGCAATCACAATAAAAGCTAATTTGATAATCAAAACAATTTTCTCCATTTAACTGTTTTGAATTTTCACATAATAATCCTTTCTGAAGGTCACAAATAACAAATCTTTGCCCTGCTTGATAATGTGGTAACTGTGATTGCTTAGTGTAACATTTAACACTATTAATTGTTCCACCATAACAAATAATTCCATTCTTACTCTGAACAAGTTGTAAAGTATCATAATCACCATAGTCATCTACTGTACGACTATTAAAGAAATCTGACCATCCCTGTTTACAAGCAGGTGGCGAAGCAATAGTAACATTCTCTTGTGATATAACAGGACTGATACCTATATTCAAAAATTTTAAGATTTATAACATTAAATAAAACCAATAAACAGTACTTTTTTTAAACTCAATGATATTTATTCCTTTTAAAATATTTTTAGTGTTTATCACTCTTTCATTTAGAAAAAATATTCAAAAAATCTCATACTGAATTTAATCAGAATATTAAAACATTATACAGTTAAAGTTTGATATAATGGACTTTGCAATATTACGGATGCTAGTTTATGTCCAAATAAACCTAATGTTCTTGTATAGGCAAACCTATTTGTTATTATGGATTCTGATGTAAATGAATTTCTCTATTATGGATCATTTACAGCAGCCTGTCTTTTTGATTATAATAGATTATTGTATCCCACAGTTTTAGTTTCACTTTTAATAATTTCTCACTATTTTAAAGTTGTTATCTGAAAGAAATGAGCTTTGTTTTTGAACTTGTAAAAAAATGATTTTATAAAAATACATAAATGTTTAGGACTAAAACAAAAGATACAGATCATCCAGAAGACTGAAAAATGTTAAGTCTCAAGCTGAAGTTTCCAAGAAAAATACTGTAAAACAAGTGCCTCCCCTGTTGTCACACAATTGGTCAGCTGTACTTTCTCCCTGTTTTTCTGAATTTCAAAAAAAAGAGAGAAACTATAGCAGATCAACATTGTGCCTGTCATGACCAAGTTTCCTTGTTCATGACAGGCACAATGTTGATCTGCTATAAACTAAAAAGTACAGTCTAAAAACTACTGAAAGCTAGAGAAATAAGAGGTATATAGTCTTACACTTTTATAATTAGCAAATGTAGAACAAAGTAACACTTAAAATTGCATTCATTAATTTAATTATAGAAAATCATTAAATTCTTGATTAATTATTAATTTCATAATAAATTTTTAAATTAATCAATCAGTCAGGTAATAATGACAAGACATTAATACCATTGAATCTCAACATAAAAGTTGGCCCCTTGTCTACAATTTGTTCTTTCTGAATGTATTGCTGCAAAGTGGATTTCTGTCAGCTGTATCTTTGTCCAATGAGAGAGAGCCATGCTAATATTTCAAACTGTTCAAATAGAGGAACATTTATGAGACCATCCTACTCTATAACTTTTCAGAGATCAATCTCTGTTTAATTTTTATCTTGAATTTGAACTTAATAAAAGTTTTCTCATTGAGTTTTTTGTCTTATTTACTTCAAGTTGTTTAAGCATTCAAATTTTTGTTATGTTAAATTCAATAAACTCTTTCTTATAAGAATTTGTCTCATGTCCATTGTTTGCAACAATAAATATTTAATCTGAACTTGAACAAAAAGAGTTTAACAAAACAATAAAATTAAATTAATGAAATATGATATTATTCATATAAGTTATTTGTTTAATATAATTTTAATACCAACTTTAAAAATTTTTTATCAAATTAATAAATTTTTCCAAGAAAAATACAGGAAATCCTCATTAATTCAAACTTGAATGCAGGTAGCCCTCAGTTTACACCGGTTCAATTTATGCTGATTTAAAATAACACCACTGTGCAATTTGCCATTTTGCTGTGTAATTCCCCAATTTTCCCTATCCTAGATTTGACTAGATTTTGTCCATATTTGACCAATCCTAGTGAGACATGAGTCCACTACAACACCACATGTCGTGGCAGAATCATGACTTGTTGGGATTGGTCAGATCTAGACCAATAGAGAACGTTCCATGAGCTTTTAGATTTGAATGAGCTGCAGACCCAACATAGAGCTACAGTAGAGTGGAGAAATGGATTGGTCGACCTCTGGCCCATCATAGCACATATACAGATCAGTTTTGGTGGGAAAGTTTCAACTTGCTTTAGTCTCGCTAAGAAGTTGTTTCATCTTGCCAAAGGAAAATGGATATCGTCTAGCTTAAGAAGGCATTGTTTGGCTGATGAGGAGTGGATTTGTCTCGACATCGACAAGTCATGATTCCTAGAAGTGCCATCTCATTGTAAGGTGTTTTACTGAATGGACTTTTATGGTATAAGAACATTAGTAAGCATAGAAGCTCTGGGTTTGGACACCAATTATTTTTATATAAATTTATTTAAATATTTTTATATTTATTGGACATCAATTAATTTTCAACTATGGAAAGTTTGACGGGTGAACTTTGTGAGTTAGACAATGATTGGGAGAGAAGTGCAAATGTAAAAAGGAGCATCATCACATCCATTCGACCATATTCAAAAATTCTTAATGAAAGAAAACAAAAATGTAAACAATTAAAGATGGATCTTTTTTCCGAAAAATGTAAAATTTTTTAATAAAAACATTTCACTTTATTTTATGATAAAATACATTTAAAAAATTAAATTTATATGTATTTTGTATTATATTGTATTAATAAACAAAATTATTTGCTTATTTTTCACTTGTGCAGAACCTAACTCTATACCTCACTGTAAACATGGGTTCATTTTACGCTGATTCGATTTGCGTTGGCTTTTGTAGGAACAGAACTGCGGCACAAACCGAGAGCTACCTGTAGTTTGAAATCCCATTAGTTTGTAACTATACTATTTGTCTTGGCTGGGATATAGAGATTTACATGTTAAGGAATTCTGTTGGTTCAAAATACAGCTACTTTGTAATTTAATTAATAAAGTGAAAATTCTGTCCAAATTGTGATACGTGTATGTTAATTCATTCATTTAGATTGAAGTGCCTCCACACTATAAGACAGCAATAGACCAAAAACAACTCTAATCTAGTCAATATGACTTTGCTTTTACAACAACATATTTTGGGTATCAAGAGAAAAAAAGGATAGTCCATGTGTACGTGGACTACTCTTTTTTCTCTTATAAAATACAGCTGATTTTTGGGATTGCAACATTGGGCTACAAATAGCAGATTGAAATATTTGTAGTGTGCTAGTCTCTACATTTGGATGACTTCTACTTTCTGGGCAACTTTAAAAATAATTTAAGCTACATTTCAAAGAATTTTGCTTTACTTTTTATAAAACCTATCAGGTAACCTGTGTGATTCTCATTGGATATGTGCTGTTTACCTTTACATTTATATTATTATTATTGTTATTAATTAAAGAAAATAGTATTCTATATACATAGCCATATTCAGTTTGTTTAATGAATTACATTGGTGACATGGCATTTGGTATATTGTACAGATATAAATAAATCTCGGATAATTCAAAGTAACAATTATTTCATCCCTTAAATTTCAAAGTAACAAGGATTTCCTGTAATACTTACTTGAACAAGAACAAAAAAACCGAACTTCATAATCATTGCAAACCGTAACACTGTTCCAACATTGGAGGCCAACATTTTTATCACATGTAACATCTTCATTACTATCTTTAGCATCCACTTTAGCTAAAATATTAATATGTAAAATATTAATTATACTACATAAACTATTAAATATACTACATAAACTATTAAATAAAATACGTATTTATTAACCAGAAAATAATAAATTTATTTTTATTAACTGTGTTAACTTTTCTATTAAATTATTTTAAAAAGAGCATTTATTTATAATAGGAGTATATATTTAAAAATAAAACTGTAAATATATCACAAACTACAAAAACTTAAAAATTGGATAAGATTAAAGAACTGCAAATAAAAACCTAAAGTCCAGAACAAAAGGTATAAATTTAACAAAAAACAAATGTTTTCAACTGCTTTAAGTAATTACCCCATGTTACAAAACAGTTTAAAAAACTAACAAAAACAAACATTCCAATTAATGGCTGACAAATTAGCCATCAATTAGAATACATTGGAGCCATGGCTCATATGCTCCAATTTAAAGAAACATCTAACATCAATTATAAAGAGTCACAACTGAACCATATACAACCTTTGCAATGGAACACCGAGTTCAAGTGCATCTATACCAGTGGTTCTCAAACTTTTTTAGAATTTCTTATGTGGCAATCTCTTTACAATTTTTTAGATTGCTTGCAAACCTTTTAAAATTAACTACGATTAACATATAGGCTACTGTTACCAAAACATTTTTTACAAACAATTATTTATTAAGAAAATAGCAAATCTTAGTCATCAAATGTACATTTAATGGTGCACCTGAAGCCTGCTTTGCCTGAAGTGACCTCTAGATGACCACGGACCCAATTTGAGAACCACTGATCTAGACAATGCCCAACTTATACATCACACCAAATAGTTCATCTTAAATATCTAGAAAAACTGAAGCAAGCAAGCAAGAAAAATCCAGCCATCAATTACAAGGATAGTAACACCCTTTCACAGGTACGGAGCTCCTTCCTTGAAGTCACTAAAAATCTCTACCATCCATATTCATGGATTTTGCACCACAATAATGAACCTGCTCACAATGCTCTTGTTGTTCACATACACAATATAATTCTGCAAGCTCCATGTTCACCAATATAGCACCATGTGACTTTTTCCTGTTTCTTTGACTAAAATTTCTGCTTTGTAGTCACTGTTTGGAGTCAGTTGATGCCATAAAACAAAATTTGCTGTAAATCCCAAAGGAGTTTCTCAAAAATAAGTTTAAAGCATGTTTTAAGGATTGGAAAAAACATTAGCATATGATCATTGCAGTGGGAGGGGATTACTTTGAAGAGGATGAAATAAATTTTGATGAGTAAATTCAAATCTTGCATTTTATTGAACCACTCCCAATACTTTTTGATCACATGGGTATGATTTTTGTGTTTTAGATGTTAAAATTTGAACATGCAACAAATATAATTCAAGAAAACAATGAAATTATGATGATAAAGTTCTGCTAACTTATTAATTATTGCTTCATATAAGACAACTAACTAGTACTGAGTATTCGAAACCTGCCAAAAGTAGACTGACCACAATTTCTTGATGCCAAAATAGAAGCTGAGGCTGATAAATACTGGCTTTCTTTCATTAAAAAATTCCATCAAAAAATATGGATGAGTATTATTAAAAATTCTTACTACATTATTAAGAATATTGATTTAGTGGAAAAAAACAAAAATGCATAAATTTTTCTAAAAGATTTTCTTTTCAAAAATCTAATAACAATAAATATTATTTTTATTATGATATATTTCAAATATTAATGTGGTTGTTTGTTGTGAGAGACATATACAAATCTGCGAATGAAAAGTTACAAAAAGAAAGATACAAAATTCAATTATATCACACAGTATTCTTTATTCTTTCCGAACTGGTTTTTTTCCTTTTTTTCTCCTTTGTCCTTTTTTTTTCCAACTTTACAAACTTTATGCCCTTCTTCTATACACAAAGAAAAAGGAACAGGCTTGTCTTCTACTATTGCTGGGGTTCGTACACATGACAATAGTCAAAGTAACAAAAAAAAAAACTAATTATATAACTAACTTACATCTAACTTATGTCTATTTTATAACTAATTATAAATAAGAGTACAGGACAGATGGATAGGGAAACAAAATGTAGGGAGAATGGAAATACCCAAGATTTCTTTTGGTACGTATATATGTTTTCAGATTATGGCGCCAACTTGATATCTTTCACTCTAAAGTCTATAAGGCTACTTCTCAATATCGAAAAATTGTCTTTTTTTCTTGGATTATTCGTTGTCCTTACGGCTTTTTTTTTTTTGAAACCATCTCTTTTCTTTCTTCCGCTTTCTTGCCGATTCTTAACCTTAACTTCAGAGCACTTGCTTTTTCCTTCTGCTTTCTTCGGGATCTTCACCCAGAGTGATTCTTTTTCTGTCTGTTTTGCCCCAGGGCCCCACTTCCTCTTTTGTTCTTATTTACGTGGAAAAGATAATCCTACCCCAGGGGCAAAAAGATTAGATAAGAAAGGTTTTAGAAGAAACAAAGAAACAGGAAGGAAGCCTAGAATTAATTCAAAATAAAATATACAAAATATAGAATATCATGGCCGATGGCCACATTAATATGATATGCTGATGTAGGTTTTTCAGGATCAAACCAAGCATATTTTTCTGAAAAATTTATTTTGTTTAATAAATTTTGGTAACTTGCAATTTTGTCGTAAAATTTATCACATTGTAAATTACAATTTTGTTTTATAATTAGCATTATTTTCAATATTTAATCTTGATTTCTTTTTTGAACATGAAATTCTTAACTGAAAATATTCTTTCTACAGAAGCTACAATTCCTGGCAAACAAAGATCTAATTCTATCAAATTTTTAAATCCTGGAATTAAAAATCCTATTTGTTCATTTCATTAAAATGCTCACCAGTGTCAACTGGATAAAATCAGTGACCACTGTTTTCTTCACAAGTCTAACACCTAAATAGGAGCCAGTTTCCCAAGAAGTCCTTCCTCTCAGAGACATCCCCTCAGCAGGTCATCCTTGTGTTGCCTTATCCCACTAATCCTACAATCCATTAAATATTTTGACCCATCTATCAGCTATATCAATTTTTTTTTCTTCATTTCATTTCTCCAAGTGTTTAATTATTGTCTTTATTAGTGCTCAAATAGTCAAATTTCATGTTTCTGTTTATGTAATATATTCTTTAAATTCACTGAAACTATTCTGTATTCCTTGTCATCTATGAATCTTCTTCAATTTAAGACCATTATCAATACAGAATAAACATTTTCTAACAAATCAAAATAATTTTCAGATTACAATGTATATATTAAATGTGTTTAATATACAAACAAGAGAGCTGTTTTTAATTTTCATAAAACAGAACAAAAATGAAAATTTTACTAAAATAGGAGGATGGCTGGGACAAAGCAAAAAAATTATACAGCTCTACTATAATAACAAGGCACCAATTTCTGTAGCCCCTTATTAAAGAAGTTCCATGCCTGAGAGTTCAACCATCCACTAATGTCATGTCAGTTCCTCATTGGACTGAAACTGCTGTGTCCCCAACCACACTTTCATTTTTGGGAACAAATGAAACTTGCTTGATGTGAGGTTGGGGCTGTAGGCCAGGGTATCAAACAACTTCCATCAAAACTGTTGGAGCAATGCCTTTATAATTCAACTGTATATGGACATGCATTGTCATGGACTAGAACCACATCTAAGGACAACAAGGCTTGCCTTGTTCTAAATCACCCTTTGAAAGTTTTTTTAGAGTTTCAAAGTACACCTGCAAAGTAATGGTAGTTCCTGGATCCATAAACTCTATCAGCAACATGCCCTTACAGTCCCAAAAAACTGTCATAATCTTTATGCTGGATAATAACTACAGTCGACCCCCCTATAACGTGCGTTCCTATAATGACAATTCCTATAACGTAGCGAAAAAATTGTAGCAACATTCGTATAAAGCATCTCCTAAAACGTCTTCGCCGACTCGTTTCGCGACAAGATTGATAGAGTCTGGACCAATAGTGGATGAGCAGCCGAACTACTTTCCTCCGACCCTGCGCCACGCTACGGAGCGGCTAAATTGAGTTTGCTATCGTCTGTTTAGTATTATATATAAATTATATATAAATTAGGTACTGTACATATAATTATATATTAATTATATATAAATTAGGTACTGTATATATAATTATATATTAACTTAATTTATTGTAACTTTATTATAATTATATATATGCTTTCTGCCGCCTGGCAACACGCTACGGAGATTTTAGGCTAGTAAGTTGAGTTTATTATCGTCTGTACAGTATGTAAATTAGGTACCGTAAGTCTAATACAGCACTAATTTTATACATTTCTTGTGAAAGAAACACTTCTTATTCAACGGCCATAAAAATTATTTATATTAATGATGTCTCCAAAGGTCAAGTTATTTTTATGCGAAAAATTCGTTATTAGAAATCGCGGCCGCCGTTTCATGTGCTGTTCCGCGATGAAAACCAGCTTTAAGCAACGGCGTAGTCGAACGGTACACACTCGGTAAGTAATCCTATAATTTTTTGTTTATAGCATAGTTTATACAGATTATTCCCAAAAAATTATACGTGTTTTGGAAATGCTGAATGGAATTAGTCTAGAATCGGTTAATTTTATATAAGAAAACCTTTCAAACAGCCTTAGTCCATAAAGTTCACACCTATCGGGCTGCGATTGGCTCATGTATTTAATCATTCCTACAACGTAAAATTCGATTAGCGTGGAACGTATCTAAGCGTTACAGGAGGGTCTACTGTACTTGAATTTCTGTTTGCTTAGTTTCATGTGCATCTATTGCTTTGATTGTTACTTTGTCTCCATGTTGACAAATTGAATCCATATTTTGTCACCTATAATGATTTGGTCCAGAAAAGTGTTGCCCTCAATGTGGTAACATTACAAAAACTACAATGTAGACTCCATTAACTGCATTTTGTGATTATAACATTTTTGGGCATCCACTGTGCACAAAACTAGTAATAGCCCAGAGTCAATGTCACAATTTCATATAGTGCTGTTCATGAAATTTCAGAAGACTGGCACAACAGTTTCAATATTGTAAACTGATGACATTCATGAACTACTTTGTCTACTTGGTCAACAAGTTTGGCAGCTGCCACAGACAGTCTTCTTCCATCAGCTTCATGATGCATATCTGTTCAGCCTTCCCAAAATTTCCATCACTATTCTCTCATACAACCATCACTCATGTAGACACGATTCTCTCATGAACCATACAAAACACTCATACTTCGATGAATCTCAGTTGCACTGTGTCATTCAGTTTGCAAAAATTGTATAACACCACACACCTCACAGTTAGCAGGAGCTTCAATGATATGAAGCTCATGCCATGTTTCCACACTTGCTGTACAACAAGCACTTAACAAAATGGCCAACCACAAAGGTAGCCATAGAATAATAAATCACTGTTTATTTCTGTGTATGAGCCAGGTTGCTGCAATAAGCAATACGACCATTCCAGCCTAACAGAGGTTAATTCCTGAATAGCCCTCATAATTTGGTACTGAGATTCTGATTTACACAGATTTTACCTGTATTATAATTGATCATCATTAGGATGAAGTATTTATTTCATATATTTTTTTTTTATAAATGATAGATTTAATGAATAATATCCATAATGAAAATATATTATTACAGTACTTTCAAAATACTTTTGGCTTTAACATAAAATTATCATATCAATTTGATAATTTTATATTAAAATGCATCATAAATTAAACATTTAATTTCCATTCTGAAAATAATACTACTGCAAAGTTTATTAAAAAATTTATCCTCAAATATTTACATTTTTTAAATATCACAAGATATCGTAAATACTTACTAATAGCATTTCTACATTGAATTTCAATTGGATTAGAACAAAGATCGTATCTAGAAGCTATGGTATTTATTTCTTCAAAATCACCTCCACCAGAAATAGGATCATCTATATTAATCCATTTGGTCCAACAATCTTCACCAATGATAGACTCTGTTCCTAAAATATCATAAGATATATAAAGCATTTTCTAAACTTAACTTTAGTAAATGAAACAAACACAAAGTCATTTGCAATTGTTTTATTACAGTAGTTCATTAATCCATCACCAACAATCTGAAATGTCTTGTAATGCAGAATTTTTTGAAAAGTAGCCAATAATCCATAATTGTTTGATAATAATCTGGCATGTTAGTTTTCTCTGAATTAAAATTTGTTTGAACGCAATGCATTAAACACTCTGAGAGGAAATTAAGGTAAAAGTAAAGGGTGCAGTTGTGCACATTGTTACATGCCAAAAGGCCATCATTGAGTTCACAGTAATATGACTGAGAAAAATGTATTTTGTTACAGCATCTTGTTTGTCAGGTCAGATGCTTTCCTAAATCGAATACATGTTTACAGCACAATTGCTGAACAAATTAGTGTGAATATCTTTCAGGATCTGATTTAAAAGCATCATCTTTCTTGTATGTTTCAACAAGAATTCAATCCTTATTTTGTCTGCTTGGCAACACACCTAAAAAGAAATATCTCATATTCAAAGCATGTGTAACTTTGTAAATTCTATGTATATGATATATCTGAAAAGTGAATATAACAATATATGCACATGAATCATTGCAATGTTGATATTGTGTGATAATGTGTTCCTATTAATGTATTTTTTCAGGTTCAATCAATCTTAACATAGTATAGTTATGAACTGAATCATCTTCAGACTAATTAAAAAGAATGCTGTATCATATACTGGTATAAAATGTACAGTCTCAGATGTCTGCAATGTTCAGAATGCTTAAAACTTAGTGAATTTTGCAAAAAATACAAAAACATCTAATAATCTGGCATTTTCAATAATCTAGTGTTACTCTGAGCCTGTAAGTGCTAGATTAATGAACTTCTGCTCTATTTGATTTAATCCAACTTACCAATTAAATCTATGCTTGTAGTAGGAATAGTTGGTAATACAGACATACACTCTCTCATAGTTAAGCAAACTAATCGGTCATTTAAGCATTGGCATTTCTCACATTTATCATAAATCACTTTTCCAGGCTATCAAAAAATTTATAATATATAAACATAGTTTTATAAAATAAAAAGTCATTATAAATTTAATCTTTATGCTGTTTGTTACCATTCTGTACAATATGAATTTATTTGGAAAAGACACATGCAGATGCTTTTGCATACTACTTCCAGCGCAGACTTTTAATAGACATTAGATAAATGGGAGATGATAAACTTTTTTGACCACTTCAGTAGCACTCCTCAGATTACAAAATCTTTTTAGAACTTTAAATGAGCTTGTATGTTTGATAAACAAACTTTTTACAAATGAACTTCTTACAAAAAATTTGAATAATTACAGACACACAATCAAAATATGGAGCATTCTAAACTTTGATGATGTTATGTAAATTAAAATTAAAACATATTTCAAAATTTAACAATTGAAAAAATGTAAAACATTTCAAAATAAAAGATTATAATATATTTATACTTTTTAAAGTGTGGTGGTGTAGAGGACAAATAATGGATTACAATGAAGTAACAATGAAAAAACAGGGTTTTATTTAGTTACGTTTCACGTGGTCCTTCTTACACCTGGTTCTTTTTTACACTTTTGATCCCAAACTATAGTAAACGCATATGTTCAACACAGTCCGACATATTCTTTATATTTTCACAGGCGAGAGACACGTGTTCGCGACAATATGAGATTTTGTTTGAGAGATATCTCTGCAATATTACGACTAACTTAAACTACCTTAACATAACTTACATACTAAGAAAGAAGAGTGAAAAATAAGATATATGAAAGGATAAGACAAGTATAAAGGAAAGATTGGTGGGGGTACCCGGGTAAATTCGGCAGTCTCCGATCTTCTCTATATTGGAACTTGAGTCAATTTCCTTCCTCTCATTTCTGTTTCTTGAGAATTCAAAGTGTTCTCAAGCCCTTAATCTGGGGTCCACCTAATTTGTCCGTTCTCAAATGACTTTCAAGTCTTCTCCTTTGTCCCACTCGGCGACAAACTTTGACTTGTTCTTTTCTACGTCTGTTCACCTCAGACGCTGACCCAAAAAGTGTCCTGTTCATTTTCTGACACCCTCAGGACTTCTTCGTATCCCTTTGTTTTCTCCCTTCATTCTTGGACAAAGGTTGTCCCCAACCCGTAGAGAAAGAATAGGTTAGAAAGTTCTAGAAACAGACATGAAAAACAAAAGATTTAAAAAAAAATAAAACTTATATCTAACCCCTATGTACATAGACATGGCGTACCGCAACAAAAAAATAAAACAATATTCATTCTCAGGGTAGCAATGCTAGCAGTAAATTTAGTTTGTCTCTGTTATTAATACATTCCCTTTTAGAATGCTCTGTATTTTGAATGTGTATTATCCTTAATATTTTTTTTAGAAGTTCATTATAGAAAGTTCTTTTATTGAATGTACAGTACAGTACAAGCTCATTTAAAATTTTAAAAATATTTGTAACCTGAGAAGGACCATTGAAGTGGCCAAAAATGTTTATGTAAGTATGTAAAAGCATTTGTCTGTGTTTTTTAACTGTTCTGGCTTTTGGGAATTTTCTTATTTGGAAGAGTTTAAAAATCATTAGTTAAATTCCTCAACTCCAACTTAATAATCCAAAAAACAAAAACAGTATGCTTAAATAACTTATAAGAGCCAGAAAAAAATTTTTAATGTGATAAACATTTTTAGGAAAAGACATCATCTCATGAGGATTTTTCATAACATTGTGAGAGTGATTTTGACTAAATTGTGATAAATGTTGGAACACTTAGAAATGTATACAGTACTAGAATATTAGACTTTTTGACTTAGTGAAAATCAGGTAAAAAAAAAAGTGATTGTTTTCAACATGTCTATGAAGAAGTTTTTATTTTAAAAAATTTTTTCGAATCCCTTTCAATGTAGATAATAAAATGAAAACTGATTAATGAAATAACAACAATTAGTAAATGTTTTTGAGATAAGTAAGGAAGTGCTTACAAGAAGGTAAGGTGAATTCAATGTTGAAAATAAAAACTGTTTTATTTTAAGAAGGAAATTGAATAAATATCAGTTGATTTTAATTAGAAACATTTTATTGAAAAGTTGTAATGAATTAATTACAAAAATCCATTTGAAGAGAATATTCATTATTAAACATTTTGTGAGCCTCAACATTAAAAATATTTTTTAATATTCTCATATTAAATAGATTTCTTTCTTTTATCATCAACTTTAATGAATTATTTTTTACTTAAAGCCATTACAAAACCATCTAGAACATTCTAAAACTTTCCAAACTCCAAATTTTTTAATTCCTTCTTGCAGATACATGTCCCCACCTATCTCAAAAACATCTAATAATTGTCTTTATTTTATTAACCACTTTTCATTTTATTATCTAGGTTAGAAGGGATTCAAATAAACTTTTTAAAATAAAAAATACTCCATAGACATAATGTTGAAGAAAATCACTTTTATTTTTTTACTTGATTTCCATCAAATCAAAAATTCTAATATTTACTATATGCACCCTAAAGTAGTCTTTCATTTACCATGAATTAGTCAAAACATTGTCATAATGTTATGAAAAATCCTTATGAAATAATGTCCTTTTATAGTAATCTAAAGCTGGGATAGATATTTCTTGCAAACATTTTTCACATTAAAAGCTTTGTCTGGTTCTTGTAAATTATTTAAGGTATTTATGATTTAAAATTTTCTAAGTATCCTTTTATCTTGTTTTTAATGAATATTTACTACAGAAAAAATATAATATAACTTGATTTTAATCTAGTGTGAATGTATTTTGTTAATTTTATTTTAAAAATCTAATTATGAAATCTACAAGTAAATAGAATATATAACATATCAAAATACAAAAATAATCTAAATATCTTAATCAGGAATTAAAATAAAACTAAATAAAAAAAAACTTAAATATTCAAATACACCTACAAAATTTAGAATACATTGTATTATAATAAAAAATATATTAAATTATGTATAGACATTGTAACTCACTAACCATCTTCACCTCATGTTAATTAATTGTTACAATCAATTGCCTTAAAAATGACAATATTTTGATTTCTTCATTCTTAATTATATTAAATATACTCATTAATTATTTTATATATTCTTTGGACTAAAATCAGCTAATGATGAACCAGAATGATTTATAAAAATTAGTGATGTGCCGGATCATTAAAAATGTATATCCGCGGATACGGATACGGATACGGATAATTAGTGTCTAGATCCGCGAATACGGATACGGATCTCAACTTTCGTACTCAGTCAGCGCCGATGCGTGATATAACAACAAACATGAT